GTTAACTTCACACTGATTGGTCTTGCTTTGAAGTACAATCTACATCAGTAACAGCCCAGGTTGTTTTCTGTACAATATAATTTCACACTGTCAATGCGTGGCAAAACTAGAGGTTGCCAGGGTCTTGTTTGTAGTTGAATCCTGATACAGCAAGGCTTTCCTGTTGCTGCAGTCACTGCTGTGACATGGCTCTTGTTTCTTTATTTTCACTGCTCCCAGTGAAGTAAGAAACTGAAGTTTCTTACTTCACTGCCAGTAAGAGAAGTGAGTGACGTTGCCATTGCTCTCAAAAATCTGTAAAAGGGGTACTGGAAACTAGTTCTTATTTTGCAGTCCGTACCTAAGTAGGTTTATCACAAGAATGAAAAGGAGATAGTCCAAAAGTAAAACGGGTGGTTCCTTCAGTACTCTGTTTTGTTTGTATTACCTTCTCACTCATAATCCCAGCTCTCAGGTGTGAGTACAAAGCAGTACATATCTACACAGGGAAGTGCCACATATATTTTTAAAGCACTTGCTTTCTTCTTGGTTAGCTGGCTCCTCTCTTGTTTATACCTTTGCTATGGCAGCCAGAGTGTTATGGAAGAGGAGGGAATATAGCTTTACATTCATGCCCCTGCCACAGAAGAGGAAAACCAATGAAGAATGAAAGCAATCATTCTGAAAATGTCAAGGAGCAGGACCTGAACTTGATGCTTGTCATATTCCTGTGTTCTTTGGTCCTGTTCACCTACTTCTTGTGTCTGTAGCATTGATCATTCTCTATCTAGTTCCTTCTGGCAAATCAAGTAAAAAAGTGGCTTTTGATGACCTCTTTAGAAAGTAAATTTGATGTGGCTTTATTTTTTTTTTAGTCTGATGAGGAAGGTGGCAAGGAAAAAGAAGGTGAAGAAGGCCAACAGAAATTTATTGCGCATGTTCCAGTGCCATCTCAACAGGAGGTAAGATATAACAAAATGAAGTTGCAGAGATGCACCCTGCTTTTGCAAGACAGATTTTAACTCGTGGCAGGTCATCCATAAAAGTGTCCTTGATTGGTTATTTCTGTGACTTGACTCTGCAGCTGTTTAATTTTCTTGCAAATGCTGTGGAACTGTCCAGAATTGTGGTACTATTGCTATAACCCCTTTCACCTGAAAAATTTCAAAACCTTCTGTCATGACCTGGACTGGAATCCCAGAGAATTGCAACGGTTCTGTGATCCCCTTGGGTTAAATTAAGGTGAAACTACACCAAACAACCAGTTAAAATGTTTTACTTGTGGTAGAGAACAATTTAAACTTGGAAAAGGATAATAAGCAATGTGGTCTTTTATAAATCTGTAAGAAAGAAAAGAAAGTAAAGGAGAGAAAGAGAATCAAATCCAGATCACCACCCCTGGATCCAGCATTGTCTCGGGTCTGGTAATCTTGGGTGGTGGGTACACCCGGATCTAGCTTCGATGGTGGGTGCATACACAGGAGACTTTTCTGTTGCCTTTGTTGTTCTTTGTATCAGCTGATCAGTGTATCTGCCCACCTTTAGTTTTTCCTCTGGTCCCACAGGTTTTTGATGTCTTAATGCTTCTTGAGCAATCATCTGGCTTCTGGGCAGAACTGCTCAGCTCTTACTAGCCCATGAGCAATGCATGTGTGGAGTATGCCCTACACAATAGAGCCACACATGGCTACACGTGGAGCCACTGATAAACAGTTGGTTTCACTCAGTCCATGTCTCCCCCTCTGAGGCTTATCTAAGGAGTCTGACAGTGCACCTGCAAGGGGGTGAGCGGTATGTCCTTCCATACACTCCTGCTTCCTTGGGTGACATTCCTTAGACTAATCCAAAGGCCGCAGCTTGTCCTTGAGGTTTTCTGTGTTGATGAATGTTTGAGGCATTCCTTCAGTTCCTTACACCTTCCTAAGTATTACAGAAATTGGAAAGTGTTGTGGTGTTATGATCAAGATAACCCTAATTGCCTACTATATTGTGCTTTTCTGCTGACAGTCTCAATTTTTTTTAATTTAATGGAATGATTTCTGAATTGCAGGGTTTGCTGTCATAAGTTTTCTAAAATTATTTTGGTGGCATGACCTTGAATAGACTATTATGTTTTGAAACTGCTCTAGGGTATATATTACTTTAACAGTGATAGGTTGTTTGAAATACAACTCAGGTGAGAAGGTTCTGGGGATACATATCTTTTGGTAGGTGTGCCTTTACATCACACAGGGAGCATGTGGTGGTTTGTCCCCCACTGCCATCTTGTCAGATGACAATGCCGTGTTCTCCTATGAAGTCACAATCCTGCACATTCAACAAAATGCACATGTAATGGCTTGTCAAAACTGCAAGAGAGAAATAATGATTAAAAACATTGCTTGCTGGCTGATGGTATTCTCTTAATGAAGAGAGCATAACTGTGAGTCAAAACAGTCTTTCTAATACATAACCACAGATTTACACAGCAGTCTTCAATCTTTTCTAATTAGACAGTAGCCAATGTAATTTTTTCTCTTTTTTAGTGGCAGATCACTCTATACCTTATGTCTATGGGATTATGCCTTCTAGAGTCTAAATTACAGAAAGCTGACATTCAGAACACTTATTGTTGAGAGATGGTGTGTGCCCGTGTACAGTCTGGAGAAATACAAAATCATTACTGAGATCAAAACAAGTCTTGCAGATTGCTATTAGTAGATTTTTAAAGTACGTGCTTGTTAAAGAATCATGTATTGCTGGCACTTCTAGACAAAATTTAGGTAAGAGGTTCATAGCCGTTGCTCATGCGAAAGGCAAGTTCACTAAACTTACTTTAGGGGTGTGGACTAGTGTGGCATAAATCCATGTGTTCTGCATTTGTTAAAGTTGTATCTGAGACAGTTTGAATCAAAATTCAGGTGACTACTGAGAGTAAAATAAAATGGCAGCTAATGTCCTGATTGAAAAGGGTAGGAGCATGGGTCTGAAACAGTCATCTATTTTACTGTTTCTTTTGACTTTCATGAGCTTCAGTTGAGTATTACTCCTGACTCCTCTTAACTGCTTCTACACAAGTGCATACATGACTTTCACAGTTTATTTTCTGTGGTTTTCTTCCTCTTATCTTAATACCTAAGCATGCTTGGTTTCAGCATCTCAATTAAGTTGAATGTCATCCTATCTTTGTATTTGCAGATTGAGGCGGCTCTTGTACGGAGAAAGAAGATGGAGCTTCTCCAGAAGTATGCCAGTGAAACCCTCATGGCACAGAGTGAAGAAGCAAAAACACTTTTAGGATTGTAACATTGCCCCAGTATGTCCTGGGTTTTGTATAATCCATCTAAAAGCAACAGGTTCCTATATTCTGGTAGCAGTCACTTTTAGCTCTGAAAGTCCCTTTGGATGTTGTCAACTGATGAAATTATGTGTGTTCTGTAGAAGGAAAACCATCGTTTTGGTTTATCCACTAGGATGACTTACACTTCAGTGCTGAAAAAGATCAGGCTTAGGCTAACTTGTCTTTACATCTTCAGCAACTGTCTTCAATCCTTTCACTTTGTAAAACAGTCTGTGCAGTGGTGCCTCTTGCAGGTAGAACCACAAACCCAGTGACTCCTTAAATCCTGAAGGAAAACTGATGTTAGTGTCATTCTGCCCACTGTACCCTGACTGTAAGCGTACACATCTTTCTTATGTTGATTTTTGACAAGCTGAGTCCAGAGGTAACTTACTCTGTTATGCCTGGTTAGTTTACCAGAAGAGCCTAGAACCTGTTCAGAGGTACCTTGATGGCAGATCTTATGAGTGACTTGGAAATTGATTTGGTTCTTTGTATAACACATGCAGTATGTCTCAAAGCTGTTACCCTTTTTGTGGTTTGTAACCGTGCCTGGGTGAATTGCTTAAATGCTGGATATTTCAGCAACTATTGTAAATACTTCCAGCTTTGCAATACCTTGTTCAAATATTTTTAGTAAAACTTATTTACAACCTGATGTCTTGTTTCATTCTAGCTCAGAGGATTGTGTTGTTTCCCTAATCGTAGCCAAAGCAGGGGATCAAAAGCAGCCATCCACAGAGGGATTTTAAGCTCTGCATCCCCTACTGCTCTTGGTTTATGTATCCTGTGACAAGAGGCAAATTACAGCAGAGCCTGTTCTGAGCCTTTTGGGTGACTAACATTGTTACACAGGTCTAAATGAATGAAATTTTAAATTGGACATCTGCAGCCAGGGAGTAGAAGTGCTATCTAATGAATACAGTATTTTACAACCAAGTAACCATGTCTGGGACTACTTAGAGTTTCTAAATGCTCTGAGTATTCAGCACTATTGTAAATAATCCACTCCAGAACAATTAAAGCTCTACATTAGAGGCAAGCTTTGTCTTTCTTGATGTAAATGAACAAAAAAAGCCTTGAAAGAGTGAAAAGCGTAGCTGCCAAGTTAAAATCTTAAAAAAAGACAATCAAAACCTCAAATATTGATAGCAAACAGACAACTAACATTACAAACACATTTGTCTCTTCCTGTTAGCGGCGTAGCTTTCTCTGCTTTGTAACAAAGCAGCAGATGAGTATGTTTGTGACTTGCAATAATTTTGTGTGTTCTGATTTGCAAGCACAACTCCAAAGTTGGTTTTAGTTTTTGCTGTTGCCCCGTGAGTGTTTTCTGTTCTTCGGTTTAGAGAATGTCATGTGCTTTTATCCACATGCTATTTGCATTGCTGTAAAAGACAACACTGTTTCCCCTGGCCACCAAGAATGGAAAAATAGGCTCCTTTCATGTTGGATGTGCTAACAGCTTTATGGTCTAGCAGTACCAGATCAGACTGGTATACTTTGCCTATGGAAAAGATGTGAAAAATGTGAAGGTTAAAGGCTTTCTTGTCTGATACTAAGCTACTAACTGTGTCCCTGGAACTGAATAAATTGGCAAGTAGTCTACTAAGTCTTTATGGTGCTTCAGGAGTGTTAGTCACCAAACCATAGCACTGGGGCAGGGGGCATGTGACACCAACAAAAAAACTGAAGCAGCCAGATGGGCTTGCTAAAGAGGCGTTTAGAGTTAAAGCTCTGTTGTGAACAGCCCTTTGCCAACCATGATTCTGCTAGACTGTACTTTTTGTTGTTCAGTGCAACATTTTTTTCTTCTTGGGGAACAGTGCTTGGAAGAGGAATGTCTGTGTAGCTGTAGATTTGCTAAACTATATGCTGGAGATAACTGAATTAGATTTAGGGGTTAAGAAACCCAACTAGTTTTTATGGCCTGATACAGTCTGGGTGTTTGATGGTACCAATGGTTGATCCTTCTGTCACTATATGAATCTATAACATAGAAAACAGAAGGGTAAAGTCAGATCAGGGACAGAGTGATGATGACAGAAGGCATAAAAAAAATAAATAAATGGAAAGGAGAGAAAATCAAGACAGGATAGTAATTGCATTCATGTTCAAAGGAGTAGCTACCAGCCCTGAGCAAGACTGATACAAAGACATAAATAGAGAAGTTTTTAAGGAGTGGTGATCTCTGCTGACCAACACAGAAATGGAATAAGCGTACAAAAATGCAGTATGGAACTGTGCAATGCAAACTGTGGCTGCAGCTGTACTAAATATTTGCTCTGTTGCTCTGAGTGCTAAGCATTTTTAAACTGAATGCCCTTTTTGGCTGCATCTGCGCCAACAAATTGCAGAGTAATTATTTGCCAGCAGTGGCCTATAGCGAAATGCCTGTGTTCTGCTTGCTGTACAGGCTGTCAAATTGCTGGTGGAGTCAGGCCTGGGAAGCTTCTGCAGCTAAAGCCGGGAAACCGATCTTGTAGTTTGTCCTAGAGAGGGAAATGGTGTGTAGGCTCTGCATTAGCTCTTACTTTGAGTGTGCAGCTGTACTTTGGCATGTGTATGCTGTTGGGCTTAGAGCTCGTACCATCTGTATAATGCCTCAGCCTCGAACGTGTCACGGTTATAAAATAAATGTCATTTTATGCATGCTTATGTGGGGCTTGTTCCCTGGTCTGCCTCAGAGTTCTGCGCTGTGCATGATCCTGGCTTGAGTTTTGAGGAGATAACCTCCCTAATTGTTCTGTTCTCTGCATTGATTTTGGCTTGCTTTTGTGTTTTAGAAGTGGATCCGTTTCGGTTTCATTTAATGCCAACCAACCACATAAGAGGTACAGACTGAACAGCATCACCTTTACTCTTGATCTCGGTGAGTGCAGTGCAGGCACCGGAGGAGCAGTCTGTCCCTGGGGTCTGAGAGAGGGTGGCGAGGAGTAACTGCTAGCAGCACTAGAAAAATTTACCTAATCTGTGTTAGCAGAGATGGGTTTGCAGAGTATCCATTAACTACTGATATTTTGTGCTTGTTTTCTCACTTTCAAGTCTATTTGCTGGGAAGTGCCTTTGGGACGCAGATCTCGGACCCCGCAGCGTTTGTGTCTATACACGATCCGCTTTTTCCCAAAAAGCATCGATTTCTGAAGAACCGGAAAGAATGTCTGATTCGTTATTAAAGGAAACTTTACCTCTCCGGTTTTCCTTGGCTGCTGCCGCGGTACCACCGCCGGCCGTGAGGGTGGGTCTGGCCGCCGAGCCCGGGGCGCGCAGCGCGCTCAGGCAGCGGCCCGGGGGCGGGGCGCTGGTTTGAAGC